ATATATATATATATATATATATATATCCAGTTTTGTATCTCAATTGGCAAACTTTTACAAACATTCTTTCTTTCACTCTCTTTACTTCTCTTTGAGCCAGCCTTACCACTTTGCTGGTTCCCTCATTAATGAGTTAACTAAACATTTGACATTTGCCCATTTTTTTTTATCTGCATGAGATTCATGTTTTTTAAGTTTTTGAGAAGTATACTTTCTCAGCAAGGTTGGCAAGTAAAAACAGAAAAAGAAAATTTATACCATCTACTATCTCCATAAAAGTAAATATATTTAATACAAAAACTGAAGGCTATAATGGGAGGTAAAGGACAATATTTAAATGGGTAGTGTAGGAGACCAGAATGTGCCACCCCAAAATATGCCTCTTTGGCATAAGGACTATTTTGAGCTGATTATTTTGAGAAACAGCAGACACAGGAGAAGCTCTAAAAACAGAGTAGAAGTTACCCTTTTGTAAGGGAAATTTACATCTATAAAGAAAATCTCCATTTGTAAGGGTGTCTCCCTCTCTGTACCAGGAAGAGAAGGGTAACTAAATCACAGGAAACACTTTTCAGTGGAGAAGGCACCCAATTAAATCTGACAATAAACCTTAATCTTGTTTACCATGCTTTTCCTGGTAATATCCTTATAACCAGCATCCCCCATACTTTTTCCTTTAATTTTTAGCTGAAGATGCAATATAAGCCTGAATTCTAAGCTACCTCTTGGAGAGTTACACATTTTCTTTTGGCTATTTCCCATGTATAGGAAGGAAATAAAAATGTTTCATCCCAAGACATACTTCTCTGACATGTTTTGAGATGGCTGTTCAGAGGGTCTTTTGCAAAGCTATTTTCTACAAAGCTGTCTTTTGTGGGGAAGATTTGCATCCATAGAGAAAACCTGCGTTAATGCAGCCATTTTTCTCTGTACTTTCTCTTTCCTCTGAAGCCCTTCCTTCTTTGAATCTAGGGAAGATTAACTGAGAGTCTTGTAACCACCCAATGGGTTCACCTGGTGCACTGCCTAGACAGAGCGAATTTATCAAGACAGCAGAATTGCAATGGCGAAAGAGTAATTCATGCAGAGCGGTCTGTGTGGGAGACTGGGGTTTTATTATTACTCAAATCAGTCTCCCTGAGCATTCAGGGATCAGGGTTTCTAAGGATAATTTGGCAGGTTTGGGCTCAGGAAGTAGGGAGTGCCCAGTGGTCGGGTAAGATAAAATCACAGGGGGTCTAAGTGAGTTCTTGCTGACTTCTGTTCCTGGGTGGGATCACAGGACTGGTTGAGTCAGATTATGGGTCGGGGTGGTTTCATCTGCTGCATCGGAATGCAGGGTCTGCAAAATATCTCAAGCACTGATCTTAGATTTTGCAAGTGATCTTATTCCCAGAAGCAATTTGAGGAGGTTCAGACTCTTGTAGCCAGAGGCTGCATGGACCCTAAACCGCAATTTCTAATCTTGTAGTTAATTTGTTAGTACTACAAAGACAGACTGATCCCCAGGCAAGAGGGCTCCCCCCTCCCCCAGAAATGGCTATTATCAATTTTGTTTCAGAGTTTAAACTATAACTAAATTCCTTCCCAAGACTAGTTCAGCCTACAGCCAGGAATGAACAGACAGCTTAGAGGTTAGAAGAAAGATGGATAGGTGAGGTCTGATCTTTTTAACTGTCATAATTTTCTGTTATGATTTTTGCAAAGGCGGTTTCAGTCTGATACCTTTAAAGGTCTGAAAGTGCAACCACCTGATGGGTTCTTCCTGCCCACTGCACAGACAAAACCAATTCACTGAGACCACAGAATTGCAATAAAGAAAGAGTTTAATAGCCACAAGGCTGGCCATGCCTCGTGGAAGACTGAATTATTACTCAAATCAATCTCCCTGAAAAATTCAGAGGATAGAGTTTTTAAAGGATAGTTTGGCAGGCCAGAGAGTCTGCTTCTGGGTGGGGCCACATGACCTCGTGGCGGAGATGAGCAGGTCTGAGTGGAGCCCTTGGTTCATTAGTGGTCAGAAATGCAAAAACCTGAAAAGATTTCTCAAAAGACCAATCTTAGGTTCTATTAGGTTGGTGCAAAAGTAATTGCAGTTTTTATGATTAAAAATAATGATGTTATCTGCAGGAGTAACTGGGAGAGTTGCAAATCTTATAACCTCCAGAATAATGGCTGGTGATTGTTTATGTCTACACCTTAACAGAATTCAGCCTGCTCACATCCTGCTAACCTGGTAGTCTCTCGTTAGCTTTACAAAGGTGGTTTAGTTTCGGGGAAGAGTTATTATCACTTAAACTATAAACTAAATGTCTCTCAAAGTTAGCTTGGTCTAAGTCCTGGAATGATTAAGGGCTGTTGGAAGGTTAGAGGCAAGATGGGGTTGGTTAGGTCAGATCTCTTTTAAATCATAATCTTCTCACTATCATAATTTTTGCAAAGGTGGTTTCAAAAGAAACATTTATCATCTATTCTGAGGATTGCTACCTGTGAGTTTTCATCTGCATAACAAGACCACCTTTGCTAGTCAGGCCTCCTTCCCCTCCCAGAACCAGTTTTGCTACAACCAAAGCCTCCATTCTTTCTGGAACCTCAAGATGACTGTAAGCTTTTGCATGGTAGGGATAATCACTCTGTGGTTCTCTCCCATATGGACGTTAATAAATTTGTATGCCTTTTCTTCAATTAATCTGCTATTGTTAGTTGATTTTTCAGCAAACCTTCAGAGGGTAAAGGAGAAATTTTACCTTGGTCCCTGCAGTTTTGCCGCTGTGAGCAGGATACCAAAGCTCTGCTCTTCTGGAAGCTGCAGTCATGGGAATTCAGGAACTGTTGAGAGGAGAAAGGAAGAAACCAGTCAGGCAGGCATTTAGAGGGGGTCCTTAGTTGAATTCTTTCAAACAAAAGAACATCTTTAAAAAAAATGCTGCAGGCAAGATAAGGGAACTCATGCAGAGGGGCTTGCCTAAGACATGCCCACTGCTACATAGATGAGAAAGGCTACCCAAGTGACTTGCCCATTGCAGACATGCCTGCAGTGGAAAACTCCGTCCCCTGACACATGCACAGTAAGGGGAATAAAGCAATATGGAGTAACTCAAGCTAAGGGCCCACATATACATTTAGGACAGGGTGGAGCTACCAGAAATTCACACCTTATGCAAATGAGATGCCCAGCCCTCATAGGTTTCTTATAAAAGCCTTTGCATTCAACTGTGAAAACAGCAACCCTCTTCTGGGCCCCCTCTCCGTGGTGAAGGGCTTTCTTCTTTTGCTTATTAAACTTTGGCTCCAACCTCACTGTTTGTGTCCACACTTCTTAATTCTCTTGGTTGTGAGACCAAGAACTCTGAGTAATACCTCACAATGAGAGACTGCTACATTGTGGGGCATTGGCAAGACTGTAACACTGACAAGCCAGCAAAAGTAAGAATTTCAAACCAGCCAGGCTCCCAGCCTCTCAGTGGAATCCAACTGAACAGACAGTAAAAAGTCTTGGTTTTTTCTCTGCAAAGTTTTGATGAATGGGAAAAAAGAATCCATGTTACTAGACTTGGGTGTATCTACTCTGGTGTGCTTTTGATACTAATACTCATATTGTGTGATGCCTTTCATCCCATAAATAGTCTTTTCCTTTGTCGTCATCTTTCTGTGTTGATCTGTAATACAGAGGGGTACCATAGGGTAGGACATGGGCCTAAAACCTGCTAAAGCCTGTTGTTTAAGCCAGCCCTGCAGATTGGTCAGTTATGCCGTTCTGATCAGACCAGCATATAAACTTTGCTGTGGGTCCCCCCAAAAAAACTGGATGATGTTTCCTCTAGTCCTGTGTAATGTCCTTGACAACTTGACTTGTGACAAACTAGACACATTCTCTTGGTCTTCATCACCTGGGGGCTGTGATTTTCTGGTCATGTCAGATGACCAGTCTGAAAATGGCTGGGGGCTCAAGTGATATGGTTTGGCTGTGTCCCCACCCAAATCTGATCTTGAACTGTGACTCCCATGATTCCCACATGTTGTAGGAGGAACGTAGTGGGAAGTGATTGAATTATGGGGGCGGGTGTCTCCCTCACTGTTCTTGTGATAGTGAATGAGTCTCACAAAATGCGATGGTTTTAAAAAGGGGAGTTCTCTTGCCTCAGCCTCCCAAGTAGCTGGGATTAAAGGCACGCACCACCACGCCTGGCTAATTTTTGTATTTTTAGCAGAGATGGGGTTTCACCATGTCAGCCAGGCTGGTCTTGAACTTCTGACCTGAAGTGATCCACCTGCCTCAGCCTCCCAAAGTGCTGGGATTAGAGGTGTGAGCCACTAGTGGCACCCAGCCACTGCTTGAAAGCTTTTTAATAAACTTTCACTCCTGTTCTAAAACATGCTTCAATTTCTCCTTCTGCCTTATGCCCCTTGGTCTAATTCTTTCTTCTGAGGTGGTGAGAAATGAGGTTGCTGCAGACCCATAGAGATTATCTGCCACTAACAAGCATGTCTAGCTCTCAGGGGAGTTGTCTTAGGAAGTCCCATCACAATGGGGTTTCCGTTGTCTCAACCCTTGTTGCCTGGTTAGTTCTGGGAAAGTCCAATTCCAGGAAGGCTTTGGGTCACAGATTAATGGGTGAGGGACTGACAGCCCTCCACAAATTTATGAATTACCATAGGTATTATATGCACAAACAAGTCTTTTGCTATCTTAGCCTATTCCTGGGAGCAAATTCTTTTTGGGGGAACCTTTGAAATTGCCTCTTCTATACCCTCTCCAGGAAGCATCTCATCCTTAAACAGTAAAAACTTATGTTCAACCAAGAATTACATCCTGGCTTTTCATGAAGAGGCCTGATTCAGTTGCTATTGGAATAAATACACCATTGGAAATTCTAATTGTAAATGATCAAAAGGTGGCTCCTTTAAATTAGACTCCAAAATTTTAAAATAGTTTAGAGACTTTTTATTCTAAACAATTGCCTTGTTTGTATTTATGGGAAGATTAAATGAAATGAAAGACACATAATAGTGGCATGGCTAGCCTTAGAAATTCTCTTGACTAGGCCAGACATGGTGGCTCACGCCTGTAATCCCAGCACTTTGGGAGGCAGGCAGATTAACTGAGATCAGGATTTTGAGACCAGCCCAGCCAACACAGTGAAATGCCATCTCTACTAAAAATGCACGTATTAGCCAGGCCTGGTAGCGGGCACCTATAATCCCAGCTATTAGGTAGGCTGAGACATGAGAATCACTTGAACCTGGGAGGTGGAGGTTGCAGTGAGCTGAGATCATACCACTGCACTCCAGCCTGGGCAACAGAGGGGGAAAAAAAAAAAAGATATCCAGCCATAGGCAACTCAGTAAAACCCCCTTTCCACAGAAAATGAACCAGGTATAGTGCCCCATGCCTGTAGTCCCAGCTATTTGTGAGGCTGGGATGGGAGGATCACCTGAGCCCAGAAGGCTGAGGCTGCAGTGAGCTGAGATTGCATCACTGCACTCCAGCTTGAGTGAGAAAGAGAGAGAGAGAGAGACCCTGTCTCAATAAATAAATAAATATATAAATAAAAATAAATTTAAGAAATAAAAGGAATGATAGATAAAATGGAATGCATATAAAAAGCTGAAAGAGAATGAAAAAATTATAAGAGGTTCTAAAATGTTTACGGAAATCTTATTGTGTATGGTCAAACTGATTGAGGTTGGGTGAATTTGTTTATAAGGTTTTGTTAAAATCAGCTTTGGCATTAGTACACTGATGCAAAGGTAGAATTTTGAATAAGATTTTCATGTAATATTAATGAGATAATAATAGATTTTTATTTACCTTTTAAGTATATATACTACAAGAAAATGAGAGGAGAGGGAAAGACAGATTTTGTTTGCCTCATGCTATCTTTATTAGGTCTTTGGATTGTTGGGAAAATGAGTCTCTTCTTTAACAGAGTAAAGTTTTTGCTTTTTAAAATCTTTGAATTATCACTTTGGCTCAATGAATGATTATTATTTTATAGTGACCTGTGATCCTATTTTGATAAAATATTTTAAACCTTTATTGTTTGACAAATGTTCTAAAATTAAATTTCAAGTTCCAAAAAGAGCCTCTGGAAGTCCAAGGGAGACACGTTAGGCTTATTTTGTATGTAAATATCACACTGGAAGCATTGTCAAGTAAGAAATGGTGTTTAACTTTCTCTGAGTTCTATTTGTATAAATGTGTTGTTAATGTGTGTTCCAAAATTGTGTGAGATTGCTAAAATTCTGATATGTCTTAGTAAATGTTATCAGTTATAATGTTAAATAAATTTTTGTATGTCACAGAAATAACCCATTTTTTTTTGTCAATTATATCTTTAACCATGGCAATCGTAAGTCTTTTGTCATCCATAGATAATGATTTTTGCACTGATTTTTTTTCTCAAAAAACCATTTGTAATAAGGTACAACCCATAGTCTGTTGCTTCTTCAGGGAAATTCATGGAAAGCACTCAGACAAGCATTTTTGAATACAGATTTCTGATAACTTTGGAAATCATAGCATTGTAGTGGGTAAAAAACTTCCAGGAATCTAATTTATAGTTGGTGCCAGCTGGGTGTGGTTGTGGTTGTGCCTGCCTCTAATCTGAGCTGCTTGGGAGGGCAAGGCAGAAGGATCCCTTGAGCCAAGGAGTTAAAGACCAGTCTGGGCAACATAGTGAGACCCTGTCCCAAAAAAAAAAAAGAAAAGGAAAAGTATCTGATATGTTCATGAGGATTACTAACCCAATATCAAGCAGAACAAGAATTACATAGGACTAAACTGAGAGAGAGTTAAACCAGTTTTTTTTTTTTTAGATGGAGTCTTGCTCTGTCTTCCAGCCTGGAGTGCAGTGGCATGATCTTGGCTCACTGCAACCTCCGTCTCCTGGGTTCAAGTCATTCTCTTGCCTCAGCCTCCCGAGTAACTGGGATTACAGGCACATGCCACCTCACCTGGCTATTTTTTTCTTTTTTTAGTAGAGATGGGGTTTCACCATGTTGGTCAGGCTAATATTGAACTCCTGACCTCTTCAAATGATCCGCCTACCTTGGCCTCTCAAAGTGCTCTCAAAGTGAGCCACCACACTCACCCTAAAATGATTTTTATGACATTTTTGTTTGAAACCGTGTTCATTCTTTTTAGGTTTCATTTTCCAGAGGCAATAATTTTTTTTCTTTTTATTTGTAGCTTACAATAATTGTGTAAAGTTTCCTTTCCTGAGCAAAACTGAAACATTTGCCTGATTTCTCCAGAATTTGGAGACTAATTGTGAGCATTCTTAATTTATGGCAACATAATTATTTGTATAAGTTCAGTAAGAATCTGTTTTCTACTTTACCAGGGTAAGGACAAAAAAAAAAAAAAAAAAAAAAGGATCTGTTTTCTTTTGTAACAGAATACAATTGGAGACACTGGTTATTTTACCAAGACTTTGACTGGAATGGCTTATATTCAGATATCACCAGAATGCTTTGAGGAATTGAGATTGACTTTATAGAGTTGATAAAAGGCCACTTGGAAAGATCAGCCTGTTGCCTTGTCTACATGACTTCTTTACAAGATTCCTGAACTTGAGCTAAGGAAAGAATGTCACTGACATGGTTTGGCTCTGTCCCCACCCAAATCTCATCTTGAATTCCCACATATTGTGGGAGGGACGCAGGGGGAGGTAATTGAATCATGGGGGCAGGTCTTTCCCCTGCTGTTCTTGTGGTAGTAAGTCTCATGAGATCTAGTGATAATATAAGAGGGAGTTTCCCTGCACAATCTCTCTATTTGCCTGCTGCCATCCATGTTAAGACGTGACTTACTCTTTTTTGCCTCTGCCTTGATTGTGAGGCCTCCTCAGCCATGTGGAACTGTAAATCCATTAAACCTCTTTTTTTTTTTTTTTTTTTGTAAATTTCCCAGTCTCGGGTATATCTTTATGAGCAGCATGAAAATGGACTAATACAGTCACTTTCTGATAGGCCCAGGAAACTAAAAATATTTTGGAACCTTGAGAAGAGAAGTCATATAGAATTCATACAGATATTTCAAGCACTATCTGATGCAAATTCTTGGCTTGGCTTCCTAGCCTAGAGAGTCTTTTAAAAGTCTAACCTGATAATCTTTATGAAAAAGTTTCAGCAAACCAAACTTTTAAAAAGCCTATATGGACAATCACTATTCTTGCTGCACTTAAGGCAAATAATTGGGCCAAGTGTAATAAGACTAAAATGTATTTTGCAAATAAATTTATCCTACTATGATTTGTCTTTGGTAGAAATGGGGGCCTAAAAAAAGAGAAAAATTATGTTTCAGAAGAAAACCATAGTACATCTGTTATTAAGTTCTAGCCCTGTTCATTGTTTTTGAGTTTTTTATTATTTTCCTAAAATTTGGCCTGAATCCTGAATTCTTTTCTGACCACAAGCCTCCTAACTAATGTTTTCAATTATTTCTCCATTTTTCTGACTTAGAATCACTAGCAAATAAAATTGTGCTTTTCTTGAGGCCCTGCTAATCAAAGCTAGACAACTCAATATGAACTTTGGGAGAGGCTGGGCACAGTGACTATGCCTGTAATCCCAGCACTTTGGGAGGCCGAGGTTGGCGGATCACTTGAGGTCAGCAGTTCGAGACCAGCCTGGCCAACATGACAAAACCCAGTCTCTACTAATAATACAAAAATTAGCCAGGCATGTTGGCATGTGCCTGCAGTCCCAGCTACTTGGGAGACTGAGGCACAAGAGTTGCTTGAATCTGGGAGATGGAGGTTGCAGTGAGCCGAGATTGCACTGCTGCACTCCAGCCTGGGCAACAGAGTGAAACTGTGTCTCAAAAAAACAAAAACAAAATCAACAACAACAACAAAAAACTTTGGGGAAAAGCACCACAGCAACTTATATATAAACAGCTTTCATGCCTGCTAATGTATGAACTACTCACAGAGTTTACTTGAACTCCTTATTTGTTTTTGTTTTTGTGAGACAGAGTCTCTGTAGCCCAGGTTTAGTGCAGTGGCACGATCACAGCTCACTACAACCTCAAACTCTTGGGCTTAAGTGATCCTCCTACCTCAGCCTCTTGAGTAGCTGGGACTACAGGTGCGTGCTACCACACCCAGCTGGTGTGTGTGTGTGTGTGTGTATATTTTTAGTAGAGACACGGATTTCACCATGTAGCCAGGCTGTTCCCAAATTCCTGGATGCAAATGATCCTTCTGCCTCAGCTTCCTAAAGTGGTGGGGTTACAGGTGTGAGCCACTGCACCTGGCCTGAATAACTTATTTGAAATATAAATCCAGAACAATCTGTCTGATTGCCACTGCAATCTGTAGATGTTTTAGAGACTCTAGAAAAATACATTTATATACTATTCTAGTCTTAACTTTGCTTTTCTTCTATTTCTATAGAAATGTCTCTTATTAAAGATCCATTTGCCTGTGCCATTCCAGGAAGTGGCATTGCTAGAGGCCGAGCCCCCCATCAAAGCCACTTCCTGGAATGAGACACAGTTGTTTAACCAACCTGACCCATTCACAGGACTACAAGACTGACTCAAGGAGATATGGGATAGGGCTAGGCGTGGTGGCTCACAGCTGTAATCTCAGCACTTTGGGAGGCCAAGGAGGGCAGATGGCTTGAGCTCAGGAGTTCAAGACTAGCCTGGGCAGCATGAGGAAACCTCATCTCTATAAAAAATACAAAAATTAGCTGAGTGTGGTGCATGTGCCTATAGTCCCAGCTATTTGGGAGGTTGATGTGGGAGGATGGCTTGATCCTAGGTGACGGAGGCTACAGTGAGCCGAGACTGTGCCACTGCAATCCAACCTGGGCAACAAAAGCAAAACCCTGTCTCAAAATAAATAAATATATAAGTAAATAATATAAAAAATTTCTTTGTTGTTGTTTATCCCAGTTTGTCTTTCCCCTCCTTTGCCTCTCTATTATCTAACAACCTCTAATCTGAATCTCTCCAAAACGATCAACATGGCTTTTAGTTTCAAAGTGGGAGTTGAAGTAAATCAAAATATTTTGCCTCAAAATATACTTCTTTGACATATTTTGAGATGACTGTTCAGAGGGCCTGCAAACAGAAGTAGTCCTACAAAGCTGTTGTTTGTGGGGGGTAGGTTTACATCTGTAGAGCAAATATGTATTGATGTAGCCAGGTTTTTTCTGAGACCTTCCCTTCTCTGGATCTAGAAAAGATTAACCAAGAGTCTGACACCTTTGAAGGTCTGAAGGGAACATTTGCCATCTATTCTCTCTGAGGGTTGCTACCTGTGAGATTTCATCTATACAACATGACTATCTCTGCCAGCTCAGCCTCTTCTACCTCTCTTATAACCTGTTTTGCACAATCGAAGCCGCTATCCTTCTTTTTTTTTGGTTTTTTTTTGAGACAGGGTCTCACTCTGTCACCCAGGCTGGAGCATAGTGGTGTGATCACAGCTTATTGCAGCCTTGACCTCCTGGGCCCAAGTGATTCTCTTACCTCAGCCTCCCAAGTAGCTGGGATCACAGGTGCATGCCACCACATCTGTCTAATTTTTTGTTTTATTTTGTTTTGTTTTTGAGATGGAGCCTCACTCTGTCACCCAGGCTAGAGTACAGTGGCATGATCTTGGCTCACTGAAACCTCCACCTCCCAGGTTCAAGCAATTCTTCTGCCTCAGCCTCTTGAGCAGCTGGGACTATAGGCACGCGCCACCACACCTGGCTAATTTTTGTGTTTTTAGTAGAGACGAGGTTTCACCATAGTGGCCAGGCTGGTCTAGAACTCCTGACCTCGTGATTTGCCCACCTTGGCCTTCCAAAGTGCTGGGATTATAGGCATGAGCCACCGTGCCTGCCCTAAAAGTTCACTTTATTCTTTTTTTTTTTTTTTTTTTTTGAGATGGAGTCTCGCTCTGTCGCCCAGGCTGTAGTGCAGTGGCATCATCTTGGCTCACTGCAACCTCCACCTCCTGGGTTCAAGCAATTCTCCTGCCTCAGCCTCCCAAGTCTCTGGGATTATAGGTGCCCGTCACCACACCCAGCTAATTTTTGTATCTTTAGTAGAGACGGGGTTTCAGTGTGTTGGCCAGGCTGGTCTCAACTCCTGACCCCATGATCCACCCACCTTGGCCTTCCAAAGTACAGGGATTACAAGCGTGAGCCATCACGCCTGGTCCTGTAATTTTTTTATTTTTGTAGAGACAGGGTCTCCCTATGTTGTCTAGGCTAGTCAAGCAATCTGGGCTGAGTCCTGGGCTCAAGCAATCTGCCCATCTTGGCCTCCCAAAGCACTGGGATTACAGGCCTCAGCCATTGCTCTTGGCCCCCATTCTTTCTGTAACTTTAAGATGGTATATACACTTTGGAATCCCATCGGGGTGTAGGGGAAATCACTCTGTGGGTTTCCCCCTTACGCATGTAAGGGGAAAAAATTGCATGCCGTTTCTCCAATTAATCTGCCTTTTGACAGTGATTTTTCAGCAAACTCTCAGAGGGCAAAGTGAAAATTTTCTCCTGGCCCTTATATATACATATTAATAAACCTCTTTTTGTTTTTCTCTTATCAAAGTTTTTTGGCTGGGCATGGTGGCTCATGCCTATAATCCTAACACTTTGGGGAGCCGAGGTGGAAGATTCCTTGAGTTCAGGAGTTTGAGACCAGCCTAGGCAACATAGTGAGAGCTCATCTCTACAAAAAATTTAAAAATTAGCCAAGTGTGGTGGCACACGCCTGTAGTCCCAGCTACTTTGGAGGCTGAGGTGGGAGGATCGTTTGAGCCTGGAGGGTAGAGGCTGCAGTTAGCTGTGACTGCGTCACTGTATTCCAGCATGGGCAACAGAGCAAGACTGTCTCAAAAACAATACTACTAATGTTTTTTGTTATAGGCATCCCAGCTAAGAACCCAAAAAGGGGGAGTGGAAATTGTTATTTTTTCTCCCCTACAGTTCTGGTGAGGAAGATGGGACTGCCGGGACACCCCACTCAGTCTGGAGCCAGCACATAATGTCCTTGGAAAGCTGGCAGAAGCTGGCAAAGATAGAATCATATCAGCTTTCTCACATCTGTCTGTAGTGCCCAGTCAAGAGTGGAAGGTAAACATTTCTCCTAGTCACTTCCTTTCTACTTCAGATTAACAGGAGAGAAACACATTCGTAAGCATTAGTTCTTTGAAGTGTGTATTTTATAAATTTGGTTTTAGGGTGCCTGTTGGTTATGAATCATTACCCTCCCAGAGAACGGCTCTTGGTTTTCTGTTGTCTTTTGTGTCCTGAGAGTTTGGGTTGGCTGTCTGCCTGTTGGGTTTTGCAGGTTATTGAGCCTGTCTGTGCAGGCAGCTAGTCGTGTCTGAGGCTCTGAGAACACGGCCAGGCAGAAATGTGGGCTGTATCTTGGTTTTAGCTGGCATCCTACTGACTGTGGCCAACTTTCAGGGGGCTGTCTAAATCTTCCTTTTGGCTATCTTTGGGAGTGGCTCTGGATCCTGGGAAGATACTATCTTTTGCACAATCTTTGGGGACACCTCTTGCATCCAGAGTTAAACCATAAAATGCTTCCTGATTTTATGCCATAAAAGACTTATATTGATTTTGGTCTTGAGTCACTTCACAGATATACCATTGTTTTATAAAAAAAGAAAACTACTTTTAAAGACTATTTTTAAAACCCTTCAATACTGTCAGGACTATTTACTGCGTATCAGCTGAAACCTGATAATATTATTGAAATACTTTTTTTAAAGGAGCAATATGGGCAAAAGTTGGCCAGACTGCATAGCTGAGCTTGGTGGCGTGTGCCTGTAGTCCTAGCTTCTCAGGAGGATGAGGTGGGAGGATACTTGAGCTCAGGAGTTTGAAGCTGCAGTAAGTCATGACTGCCCCACTGTATGCCAGCCTGGGCGAGAGAGCAAGGCCCCATCTCAAAAGATATTTAAAGAATTAAAAAAAAATTAAAAGCTAAAAATTCATGCCTTTTAAGATGATTCTTTGGGCACTAGTCCACCATTTTCTCAGTTTCTTGGATCTCTGAAATAAAATCGGTTTCCTTTCCCAGTGCTTTGTATCTTGACTTGTTGGCTGATAGGTGGTGAGCAGGACAAGCTTTGGACTCAGCTATGTTAGCTGGAGTGCAAGTGGGGCATGCGCAGATGAGACTCCGTCCACCTCACATAGCTTTCCCAAGCCTTGGAGGACTGGCTTGTGTTGTCCCTTGCTGCCTCTCTGTAAGTAATAATTCTGCTCCATCTAACTTGTGTGTGCATGTTCATCCTGCCAGAGTCATACAAGTCAATAACCAATGAGTACACAGTGAAACTGCTTCACAGAAAGCTATGTGTCTGTTTATCTACGTGTACGTAGGTATGTTATATATATGTACTATTTTTCTACCTCCAGATGGTAATGCCAAAATTAATTTGTAAAAGATCTCTGCTTAATTGCTTAAAGAAAAATAAGTGTTTGCAAAAATTAACTATTCCTAAAACTCTCGGAAATATAGAAACTAATCCAAATGTCTTTCAAGTTCATATCATCTGGGATAGTCTTTGGTAAATAAAGCTAGTTTGTATTTTGTTTAATTAAGATAGGCATATCTTCAGAATTGTCAATATTAAATATAACACAGACATACAACTTATTCTACCTAGACTTACTAGCGAAGTAAGTTCCTGTTTTGTTTTGTTTTGTTTTTGCTCTGTCGCCCAGGACGAAGTGCAGTGATGCGATCCTGGCTCACTGCAAACTCCAACACCTGGGTTCAAGCAATTTGCCTCAGCCTCCCGAGTAGCTGGGATTACAGGCACATGCCACCATGCCCAGCTAATTTTTGTATTTTTAGTAGAGACGGTTTCACCATGTTGGCCAGGCTGGTCTCAAACTCTTGACCTCAGGTGATCCACCTGCCTCACCCTCCCAATGTGCTGGGATTACAAGTGTGAGCCACCGAACCTGGACATTCCTGTTGATTTTATGTTTATAAGCAAGAAAATAATTTAAGATGATGGCTAGCTGTTTACTGTCTCATGGAATTTCCATGATTAATCCAAGCAAGACTGTTTAAAAACTACTGAGTTAATTTATAAGCTTCTATCTCACATCTGTTTAACTTTTTCACCAATAATTATGTTTTATAATATGTTTATTTAAAAATAACTCTCCAGGCTGAGCAGGGTGGCTCATACCTCATGCCTATAATACCAACACTTTAGGAGGCCAAGATGGGAGGATTGCTTGAGCCCAGGTGTTTGAGATTGCCTAGGCAATACAATGAGACCCCGTGTCTACAAACAAATTAGTTAGCTGGGCATGGTGGCATGCACCTGTGGTCCCAGCTACTTAGGAGGCTGTGGTAGGAGGATCACTTGAGCCTGGGAAGTCAAGACTGCAGTGAGCTATGATCGTGCCCCTGCACTCCAACCTTGGTGGCAGAGTAAGACCCTGTCTAAAAAAATGATAATAATAATAATAATTCTACAAATCTCTTTGGTATCTTTCACCCTCAGAGTTTTGCTAAGTTAAGTTACATGATGGAGATTCATTGCATACATAGATTATTTCCAAACAAGGGGATATACTGAAACATTAATTGCCTCACATAAGTATATACTTCTCTATTGTTGACTTACTATAGAGAAATGAATGGTATTTGATTAGTAAACATGTCCTGTACCACATGAAAAATTGTACTGTAAAAAAAATAAACACACCTCTATATGCAAATTTGGTAAGAAAAGTAGGATGTGTTTTTGAAAAGAAAAAGTATGAGCTATGAAGATGCATTTTTGCTGAGGAAAGGAGAGTAATTCTGTCCCAGTTTGGTAGTCCCTCCCTATAGCATGGGAAATGTTCCCAAGGAGGCATTTCCTTTGTGGAGGTGGGTGATCACAAACAAAGGAAGTCACTCAGCCTAGACAGTTTCTGAGATGTAAATGACTCACTTTTGATGAGGAGGTGTCCAAATAGCTGATCCTTCCAGACCACTGCTTTTCCTTAACTCTTCATCATTTATTCTTTTTCTTTTTTTTTTTGAAATAAAATAACACTCTGTTGCCCAGGCTGGAGTGCAATGGCGTGATCTCAGCTCCCTGCAACCTCCACCCCCTGGGTTCAAGTGATTCTCCTGCCTCAGCTTCCTGTTGGATGTAGTGAACCCCAAGTTTCTCTTCAAAGTATCAGTATGTTAGTATGTTCAGCTCTCTTATTCTTTAATTCTCTATTTTAAAGTTTAACTTCCTTGTAGTTTCAGTAAAACTTTTCCACCAGTTCTAATCAGTAGTTCACATCTGTTCCCCTATCCCCTGCCCCGTC